CAATTTAGCAATATTGTTTTTTAAATCAATCGTATAGAATTCCAAGCACCACAGAAGAGCTCGTCCACACAGTCATGTGTAAAGAACCATATTTTTAGGGCAGAAAATGTGTTTTTCTTCAATTTTAACTGCAATAATCTATTCATGCCTATGAAACAGATTATTTAAATGACATAAAGAAAACAAATGCCAAATAAATATTATAAAATATATAATGAAAGTTGTCCCCAGGAGTCGTGTCACTGGTGTTACTGTGTAACAAAAAATATCTTATTTTGAAATAAAAATCACACTGATGACATCACTTCCTTCCTTTTACCTGTTTTCTGAGGATCTATGAAGAAAAGCACATGGTGAGTCCACTGTGTCTTTCAGTTATCAGAGATTTTCTCAATTAGCTCATGATTTCATATGAAGCTTTTAGCTGAAGTCACTGGTGTGACCGACTTTATTCTGAGGTAACTGTGAAAAAATAGAACACAAATGGATTAAATTCCATATTTTAGTGGATATTCCATGATTGACAAAATGTTTTTTGATGCTCTGTAGCAGCCATTCTGTAAAATGCATTGTTCATTAAAAATGTCTCTGGTGTTCCTTTCTTATGTGTAACACCAATGAGGATCAGTAACACCAGTGACCAGTGACTCCTATGGAGAGAAAGAAAAGTGGCCGTTTCTGTAGAATGACCCATAACAAAACCAGACAGGCTGCCAAATGGTCACATAAAGGTGAATTAGTACATAAAACTGCATAGGAAAAGATAAAATACTACAAGAAAATGTGATGTATGTGTCCTTTAACGTTCCCACGGCAAATGCATGAGCGATCAATTCGTCTTCATTATCATTTAAAGCACCGTATCATTATCTCTTCTTTTCCACTTTTGTTTGTTTCTGTTTTCTTTGCTTTCACAGGGAAAATCCCTCAAAGGAAAACCGCACTAAAGCTAAATCTACATCACAGCCTGTAGGCAGATGTGATTGATTTTAAAGTTGCGCTGAAACACTGAGTAGAATTATACTAAACCAACACTCGCCTTGGCTCATCAGTGAGATCGGAGAGAGGAAGGGCTGACGATCGAAGCGTCAGACAGTGCGTTAAGCGGATTATAAGATATGTGAGTGTTCACCAGTGAAATGGTGCGTTCATCTTTATGTGCGATCATCTGACTGAGCTTTTAAAGGTACTTTCCTCCACGAGAGCCTTTAAAAGACTGTATTTTAGGAATTTATTATCTCATAGCATCCTTCATCCAGCTGGAGCCTCGTTTGGAGTGAGCTGATGGCTTTGAATGTTCATTCAGATGCAGTTACATTGGTAAAACACCACAGTACTGGGACGCCTATACATCACACCCACAGGAGCTTTTATGACTCCCAATCCATAGGGATTAATATGGAGTTGGTCCCCCTTTGCAGCTCTAACAGCTTCCACTCTTCTGGGAAGCTTCCTACAGATGTTGGAGAGTGTCTGTGGGAATTTCTGCCCATTCATCCAGAAGAGCATTTGTGAGGTCAGACACTGATGGTGGACGAGAGGGTCTGGCTCATGTTCTCCATTCTAGATCATTCCAAAGGTGTTTGATGGGGTTGAGGTCAGGGCTCAGTGAGGGCCAGTCAAGTTCTTCCACGCCAAACTCACCCAGTCCGGCCTTTATGGAGCTGCTTTGTGCACTGAGGCTCCGTCATGCTGGAACAGGAAAGGTTCTTCCCCAAACTTGGAAGTGTATAATTGTCCAAAATGTCTTGGTGCTGAAGCATTAAGATTTCCCTTCACTGGAACTAAGGGTTCTAGATCGACTCCTGAAAAACAGCCCCATATCATCATCCCTCCTCCACCAAACTTTACAGCTGGTACAGTGCAGTCAGGCAGGTAACGTTCTCCTGGCATTCGCCAAACCCAGAATCGTCCATCAGACTGACAGATAGAGAAGCTGATTCGTCACTCCACAGAATACGTTTCCACTGCTCCACAGTCCAGTGGCGGCACTTTACTCCACTCCATCCAACGCTTGGCATCGTGCTTCGTGATGTAGGGCTTGCATGCAGCTGCTCGGCCATGGAAACCCTGCCGTTAAGCTCCTGGTGCAGTTTTTGTGCTGGTGTTAAAGCCAGAGGAGGTTTGGAACTCCATGGTCATTGAGTCAACAGAGCTTTGGCGACTTTTATGCACTACTCGGCGACCCGCTCTGTATCTTTACGTGGTCTGACACTTCGTGGCTGAGTTGCTGTGGTTCCTAAACGCTTCCACTTTCCAGCAACACCACTCACAGCTGATCGTGGAATATCTAGGAGCAAAGAATTCCGCAAACTGGCTTGTTGCAATAGTGGCATCTTGTTTCAGCACCACTCTCAAATTCAGTGAGCTCTTTAGAACGACCCATTCTTTCACTAATGTGTGTAAAGGCAGACTGCACGGCTAGCTGCTTGATTTTATACACCTGTGGCAATAAGACTAAATAAAACACCTGAATTCAGTAATTAAGCTGGGTGTCCCAATACTTTTGTCCATATAGAGTAGGGACCAGATGTCCACCTCCAAAAGCCCCCTTTCAGAAAGTTGTTACATGAAATGGTATATAGTAGATAATGTTAGCGATGCCTGTCGAGGGAAAAGTCCGGTTGTGTATCCGTGGAATTTTAGTTCTGTCATCTAAAACGCTAAATGAATTAGTCATCGTCTTTTTTTTCTTTCCTGTGCGGTGCTTTGATCATTTTAGCCTCAGTCATCAGAAAAGCTTCACTGTCAACGAGGATTTTAGTCATCAAATGGATTCTGAGAGTGCCTCCGGGAGAGACTCATGGTCAGGGAAGGATGTGTGTGTGTGTGTGTTTTGTCTCTTTGTGGGGTCCAAATCCCCTCAGGACGAACATTTTGATGTAGCGGGGACATTAGTCTGCTCTTTACAAGGAAAAATACCCACCCCCACCAGCACCGCAGCTTCTATTAGGAAGAGTAAAAGAGGCTGAAGTGGTTCTTAAGGTTGCAGGATCAGGTACAATGTGAGGTGCATTTTGATGCAATAGGCCTCATTCATCAACCGTCCTTTAAGCCGGGGTTACCCCGCATGACCTTAACCCAGATTTTAGCCCCGATTCTCAGTCTGAGTCTGAGCTGGTCGGCTCTAGTCTGCAGATTTTTGGGTCAGTCGGAGTCGACAGTTGGAGAGAAAGTCGAGTCGTGTTTGAGGGCTCAGACTCAGATTTAATGCCTCCCAATCACGTTTCAGTCCAGTCTGAGTTTATCAAACGTTTGATTTTTTTCGACCCGACTCTGAGTGAAATCTAGTGTAAACTGATCGGCTCAATCTGAACAGATTCCTGCAACAGCCAGTTAAAACTGAGAGAGAGAAAGAAGGAAACACAGCAAGTAAACAAAGAAAAATGGTGAAAAGTCTCTCACGTGTGGAGCGAAGCTTTTTAATGAGCCGAGTTTAAGACACAATCTAGTTTATGTACATTTAAAACTCTAAAAAATACCAAACTGATCACATTTTTAATCAATGATCCTCACTTAAACATGTTTACCTGCTGCTTCTTTACTGTTTCAGCACAAACGGCAGAGAAAACAGCAGCAGCAGCTCATGTTTGTTTATTTGCGTCTCCTTGTAACACGAGAACGCATGAGTTAGCGTGAGTTTACGTGAGTTTGCTAGGATGTTGGTAGGAAGTTGCTATGGTATCTCACATTGTGGGTAGGTGATTCATATGTTATTCCAGGTGGTTGCTAGGGTGTTCTAGGACAGTTGCTTTGGTATTCCAGGTGGCTGCTAGGGTGTTCTAGGACAGTTGCTGTGGTATTCCAGGTGTTTGCTAGAGTGTTCTAGGACAGTTGCTGTGGCATTCCAGGTGGTTGCTAGGGTGTTCTAGGACAGTTGCTGTGGTATTCCAGGTTGCTGTTAGGGTGTTCTAGGGCAGTTGCTGTGTATTCCAGGTGGCTGCTAGGGTGTTCTAGGACAGTTGCTGTGGTATTCCAGGTGTTTGCTAGAGTGTTCTAGGACAGTTGCTGTGGTATTCCAGGTGGTTGCTAGGGTGTTCTAGGACAGTTGCTGTGGTATTCCAGGTGGTTGCTAGGGTGTTCTAGGACAGTTGCTGTGGTATTCCAGGTGGTTGCTAGGGTGTTCTAGGACAGTTGTTGTGGTATTCCTGGTGGCTGCTAGGGTGTTCTAGGACAGTTGTTGTGGTATTCCTGGTGGCTGCTAGGGTGTTCTAGGACAATTGCTGTGGTATTCCAGGTGGCTGCTAGGGTGTTCTAGGACAGTTGCTGTGGTATTCCATGTGTTTGCTAGGGTGTTCTAGGACAGCTGCTGTGGTATTCCAGGTGTTTGCTAGGGTGTTCTAGGACAGTTGCTGTGGTATTCCAGGTGTTTGCTAGGGGATTGCTTGGCGGTTATTAGGTATTTCTAAGTGGTTAATGTATGCAAGATGGTTTCTATGGTGTTATGTTTATAGTCATATTAAGTTGTATTTGTATACCGCTTTATCCCAAAGATTCCTACAGTGTGCCGAAATCTGGGAAATCTAGTTCTATAAAGATACTGCTAATTATAGAAATACAATGCTGGGAGTTGGACATAGATTTGTAAAGTGATAGTTCAGCTGAATCAAATTTGGTCAGCATCTTATAGCATTTTTGTATATAACTGTATGTCATCTTGCTTTAATATTTTACATCAAAATGTTTATGGTATACAAAATGCCACATTTCTCTTATGGTTTCTGTTTTGTGTCAGTATAACATTTATTTTTTAATATGTTTGTGTTTTTTTATATGTTTATTATGTTTAACATGTTTACTTTGCCCCCCCTTGTTCTTAGTTCTGGTTCAGTCGCTTTCAGATCATATCATGATAACTACCATTTTATGCTGAGGCCTATCATGGAGCTCCACCGTGGGGCCCAGTGCTATGTGGCTCATTTCATGTATGTTTAAAATCAATCAAAATAAACCTCTGTTTACATTCACATGAGGATGGGCTCTTCTCTCTTTCTCGGCAGGTGTGGTGGCCATTCTGGTTCCTCGGCTGGACCTCGTGATCTCTTTGGTGGGTGCGGTCAGTAGCTCTGCCCTGGCGCTGATCTTCCCCCCGCTGGTGGAGCTGGTGGTCCACTCTGTCCGTCCGTCCACATTCCTCCTCCTGAAGGATCTGTCCATTGCTGTTTTGGGTTTTCTCGGCTTTCTGACCGGAACTTACGTAACCGTGGGAGAGATTATTTACCCTGAAGAGCAGGGACGCGCTCGTCTCCATGACGACACGAACTGGACCACACCCACTGCCCCGCCCCTTTAATGACCACAGCTGGCCATCATTGTCCAGGACAATTCTTATACACATACATACATAAACATAAGCTCACTACAGTCTTCACTGCTTTGATATTGTACACTCCACGTTCATATTCTCTCACTCCAGGCTTTAAATCCTATGTTAAATCCCATGTTTTGTTGATTTTCTAAATAAGAATAAGTAAACACATCCTCTACAGCGAACACATCTACATTATTGTGCTAATTTTAGTGCATATGTTCTAATTATTTAGGTGCCATAACTTTTGCACAAGCCCCATTTGTTTTTTTTTTTTCCTCCAATATATTAAATTCAGCAAATGAACAGTAGATGTACATTAAAATGTGCAGACGTGTGTTCTCTGTGGAGACTTACTTTCACTTAGAAAATCAACAACAAATTCCATAGCAGGGATCCATTTCAGTCACAGACAAAAATTTAGTATTTATATCAATATATTATATCTATAATACCATAGAAGTATATTATATCTATAATACCATAGAAGTATTCAAGTACACTACCGTTCAAAAGTTTGGAATCACTGTTCTAGATAATATAAGGCGAATTTGCACACAAAATAAAATAAATATAAAAAATGAAAGTATGATAAAATTGATATTCAGAATGAAGTTCTAATAGAAGTGACATCCAGAATAAAGTTATAATAACATTATTGTCTAGGGTGAAGTTTCAATAAAACGAATATGAATTATATTAAGTAATAAGAAAACTACAGTATATTTAATAAAACACACGTGTTATTTGTATGTGTGTGTGTATATATCATATACCTGTTTTATATATATATATATATATATATATATATATATATATATATATATATATATTAATATATATATCCCACATCACACTACGTTTTGTTTTCACGTGTGTTTATATAGTATCATTCATAATATCTATATCATTTATATTTTGCATATAGGTTATTGAAAAGAATAACAGCTGAAGTTAATGGAAAACATATTTATTTCTATTATAAAAAATAAGAAAAAATGTACACATTCTGAACTCTAAGTAACATTTTTACATCGTTTTTCAAGTAATTTTAAACTATTTCTGTTGGTCAGTTCAGCATGGCATAAGATAATGCCATGCTGAACTGGACTTTTCAAATTATACCAAAAAATAAAAATGTCTGTATATATATATATATATATATATGAGTGTGTGTATATATATTGCTGCTGCATGAAATACATATTTAATTTTTGTGTTTTTTTGGTATAATTTGAAAAGTCCAGTTATCCTTTGCCTTAAAATATGATGCTAAACTGACCAACAGAAATAGTTTAAAATTACTTGGAAAATGTAAAAAATGTTATTTATAGTTAAAAATGTTGTGTTTTTTAATTCTTTTACACACACACACACACACACACACACACACACACACACACACACACACATATATATATATATGTGTGTGTGTGTGTGTGTGTGTGTGTGTGTGTGTGTGTGTGTGTGTGTACATATAAAACTTCTTCTACTCTTCTTGTACATCTACACTCTAAGTAATTATCGAAAGACGATGCTTAATATCATGTGTGACTCCAAAGCTTTGAACAGTGGTGTTCAGTATGTAATATTTGTAGTATTATTATATTAATATCACATTTATTATCATACACACTCCATGTTCATGTTCTCTCTCACACACAGTTCTTTTAGGATTTATTGTACTTTAAATTATACAGCAGTAATAATACAGTGTGTGTGAACGAAAACACACACGAGCTCGCTGCATCCTTCAGTACTTTAATACACACTCACACACTCGGTCACTCCCGCAGAGTGTGTGTGGAGAGCAATCACGCTTCTGGGAGAGTTATTTTTCAGACTTTTTATAGTTCATTTTCTTTTTCATTCCGTCAGCACACACTGCCGTGGCCCAGGGTGTGTTAGAGAGAGAGAGAGAGTGTGTGTGTGTGTGTGTGTGTGTGTGTGAGTGTGTGTGTGAGTGATATAAGACTGTGTGGTCTATAAGACTGGCCATGGGTACGTGAGGCTCCTATACTGTGTGCATGAATGTGTTTTTACCAGACTGATTTAATATTTTGTATATAAACATAAACAGTCAGTGATCATCTTTTATTCATATTTCCAGTCAAAACAGCCTGCAAGTTCATTTTTCAGCAGCATGAAACACATTTAACATAAAACAGATTTCAGTTCCTCAAAGAATCTGCAGACACGCCTCCAAAGTTCAGTCTTAGAAGCTGGTTGATCATTTTCTGAAGCAATCAAACACATTCAGTGGTGTTGAGGTCTGGACTCTGGGGTGGTCAGTCCATCGTTCAGCTTCTTTGTTTGATGTGTCCGTCTCCTTTTCTCAGTGAGGTTCTTCTTGATCAGCTACACATCCTTTCAGACCCACAGCGCTGAGTCGTCTTCTCACAGTGGAAGGATGGACAGAAACACCTGTGGATGTTTTCAGATCTGAAGCAGCTTGATTTTCTCCTCTCTCTCAAAGATGAAAGCTTTAAGTGCTGTTTATCTGATAGGGGCAGTTTGGGGGTCGACCAGGTCTTCCAGGTGGTTGTTAGGAGCCCCATTTTCTCTGCAGCTTTCAAATATCCTGAAAAATGCTGGTACTTAATGGCTGTTTTGACTGGAAATGGAATTAAATGAAGGGTTTTTGATTTTTACACGGTGTTGTGTAAATGTGCAATGTCTCCACCTTGTGGGGAACTGTGTGAGCATGTTTTGTTATATGTGGGGTGGGTTTTCGTTTTTTTACTTCAGCCTTACACACTTCCAGTGACTCCGCCCCCTAACCTGGCTGGAATGGCTTTTAGCCAATCAGCTGTCTCGGACCAGCGCATGTCAGTTTTAAATGGACCTCTGTCTTGTCATCATTCTGTAGTCGATGTCATGCCCATATAAGGAGCCGTGGGTCAAAGCCGGTTTATTCTATGAGAAAAATGAATGGGGTTCCAGAATATTACAGCGAACAACAATGAATTATGAGGTTTGGAAAAAATTGGAATATATGAATATTGCTACATCTAAGCTAACACTGTTGTACATTAAAACTGACCTCTTCAAAATAACCACACAGCTTCGTCCAGAGTCATAGTTAAAGGTGCAGTAAGCGATTCTGGAGAACAGTTGTTTATATTTGAACTCAACAGCACCTTTTGGAAGGGTGCTCCTTCGGAAGCTCCGCCCCCTCAAATTCATGTACCTGCATTGCCAAGGCAAACGATGCTGGGCTAGCTAGGCCATAAAACCCTTCGCAAACGTTGCACGAACAAATACGGTGATGTAATGTTAGAGCGAACAACCACACAGCGAGTGATGTAGCTAACGTGAGCGGTTGTGGTTTAGCAAACTGTCGCTACAGTTGCTGCTGTGAAGCTAACGAGTTGAGATTTGCTGTCACAAACATTAGCAAACGGAACAATACTGACCTGTTGGTTCTGTGAAACAGCAGAAATGAATTAATGTTGCCCACCGGTCAAGCAGAAACAGAGCGGCCTCCTCATCCCTTTTCAGGACTTTTAGCTCTCCATGAAGCTGAGGTCTGCCTCTTATTCAGTATTATTCTTATTATTATCCCATTCCACCTTAAATGGTGCAGCAGTTAGATTTTGGTGTTTCTTGTTCAATTTTCCCGTTCCCCCTTAAATTGTGCAGCAGTTACATTCAGGCGGAAAATTCAAACAAGAAGCTGACGATTAGGAAGCCTTATATTTAAGCTTCATCATCTTTCGGAAGTCTCTCCACAGTTGAAACGCCTCACCAATGTTAACACGGCTCTTCACCCCCACCTGATCTACGAACTTCTTTCTCAGTCTTGGTTCTTCAGATTGTCTCCTCTTTGGCTGTTTCTCGCCATCTCTCCTTCTTGATGATGCATGGAGTTCAGCACGTAGCCCCTCCCCTTCCCTCTGTCCTGATTGGCTGGAATAGTGTTGTGTAGCTCAGTCTGAGACACTTTGTTTGCCTACAGTTTTTTTCCAGAGTGCACAGAATGGACAGCTAGTGGATCATGAATTTGACAGAGAGTGTGTTGGATTAAAATCGCTTACTGCACCTTTAAGTGGCTTTGCTACAGTTTGAGTAGCCGGTGTTGGTGTATAATAGTGTTATTGTAGTATTACACATATTGTATTAACTCCCATTCAGTCAAGTCAGTGCACGTTGTTAGCTTGCTTGTAGCGAGTATGTAGCAATTTTCATATTTTGTCTACTTAACAGCCTCGTAATTCAGTGAATTCGTACGCAGGACAAATAGTTTTCGCTTTGGAACTTTTTCGTTTACCACATTAGCAGTTTTCGAAAAACCCCATTCATTTTTCCCATAGAGGAAAACAGCTCAGACCAGGAATTCCTTATATGGGCGTAAATCCATGTTTGACCAACTCTAAAAAGTGCTGAATACTGTACTGTGGGAAAACTCCGAATGTACTGTAAGTATGCTCTGATAAAACAGACGCATTATTAATAAATTAATCTATGACTCCGACACATTTATGCAGATCTGTGGTCATTTATACCTGATACAACTCTATCAAAAGCTAAACTGTTTGAAGACTTTTTTTAATAACCTGTTCATTTATTTATTTATTTATGCAAATTATGGTCCCTGCGAGTCTCCAGGAACCAAAAATAACCTTCCATGTGTCTGCAGTCTGGTGACGGGATCACGCTGACTAATAGTTTAAATGCATTTCATATCTCAATCTGGAATCTTAATGCCGGGTTTAATTATATTAATCTGCGCCCGGCTGGTTTCGTCGCTCAATCCTTTTCCGTTTTTGCGGTTTCAGATGAGGCCTCGGTGCGTGTAACACAGTGCCAGTCACAAATTTGGACACTTTTATGAGAGGATGTTTCAGAAGCGTCGGGAGGTTTTTACACCACATCGTACGTCTTTACATATTAACACGACACACACAGGCTCAAAAAGAAGGTCCGGCTCGATGTTTAGGCTTCAAATGATGTTAGAGTCAACATTATACTGATGAAGATCTGATGACAGTAGTAGATAATTCACTCACATCCTCAGAAGATGCTCCTTCACCAAGTTTGGACTGAGTTCTCACTGAATTCTCTTCCATCGTCAGATTCATCCAGAAGAAGCACAACCCATGCTACAATGTTCTTCCGCACATTTTCGCAGTTTCACGTTTTCACCAGAGAGGGCACCAAATCGACAAAACTTACATAGTGGAAC